TCAAAGAAAATGTTGATTATGTAGAATTATTAGAAGATATTTATTTATTATCAATTTAGAAATATGGAAAATTTGATGATTATTTAGAAATATGGAAAATTTTTAAATCTATATCACGTGAATCCGTTGTAACGCGATTAGTACTTATTATTATTACTGTTATAGAGAGAGTAAACTGTATATTTAATAGAAAATCTCCAAGTCATATCTTCGAAATTGTTAAAAACTGAGAAACTCTGTTCATTTACTCTCTTTCACAAAGTAAGTATATTCTATAAATTTGTTTGGCAGTTTCTGCTTGATGTATTTGATTTAATTGTACAATTTCAGTGGTGTATAATTTTAGCTAGCCCTCGTTTGATGATTCCTTAGGGTATATTCTTTAGAATATAATTGATGACTATAACAATAAAAAATCAAAACCATTTCATTTCAAAATTGTTTCTGAACAACCTTGAAGTATAGAGTGTGACTCAAAAAAAAATTTTTTTTTTATTGACAATTAATTCATTTACTTTAGACATGACAAGCTTTAACTTTAATATCAAATTTATTGATAATGATGACTTTGAAGAAGATCCAAATGTAATATATAATTTCTTATTATTATTAATGATTAAAATGAAATATTAAAAGGGAAAAATTCCTTCATTCAATTCTATTAAATACTATTATTTAGGAACTTGAGTTGTTAAGCACTGTGACAAATGGTAGTGAAAATCTCAATGGAAAAGAATTTAATTTGGATATAGATGATATTGGCAATGGTGATGTTGATTGTGATTGTGATGGTGATGATGAAAGTGGTAGTAGTGTTTGTGATAAAGATAATAAGGATAATAATGACAATGGTGGTTTTAATTCCGATGACAAAGATGGCATATTTGCTCTGTTCTCTCACGATACTAAAATTAAAGATGTAAAACATACAATAATGCCAATAGAATATCCCAAAACATCAAATGAAGGAATTGCTTATATATTTTATGTCAAAGAATGGAACGATGTCTCCTCTGTAACAAATGATGTAATTAAAAACTCAGTATCCTATTCAAACTGACACAGTATTTCTAATCAATCAATTAATCAATTTGGTTTGTTTTATTTATTTTATTTTCCAAGTGCCAATAGTATGGGTGAGCCTAGTGGTGGAAGTTCTAAAGTAGGATGTCCTTATTTTGGTATTAATCCTGAAGATAAAACACAAAAATCATATGTTCCAGTTAAAAAAATAGTTAAGATGTAAAAGTATGTCCACTTGCTGGTAATGAAATATTAAATGCATATCATAAGACAGTAAATCTTGAAAACAACCAATTTATTTCGAATCTTAATTCAAACATTCCTTCCAAAAGACAAAGACATGTCACTACTCAAATGTAAGGAGTAATGTTATTTGTTGAAGAGAAATTATTAACCTATTATTTTAGTTGAAATAGTTAAATAACTAATGATTATTTTCCTTTTTTTTATTTAGTGAGTACCTTGCAGCTATTGCAGTGAAATGCCCCTTTAATAATTATCAATGTGGCGGAAAACCTTGTATAAAAAAATACAAAATTCATGGAACTGATGAATTTAGTGACTTCATTGGCTGTGATAGATATTCTTACCACCAAAAGGTCATTTATCTTTACAAATAAAACCTGGTGTTGGTATCAAATTATTAAGAACATTATTTGGTAATGATGAACATATCTCTGATAAAAACGATGACACTAATTGCACTACTATTGTTTCTTCACACAGTAAAATCTAATATTATCCACATCTGCATGTTTACCAAGGAAGAACCCAAAGGATGCAGTTAATAAGGAAAAGTTGTAGTGTTTACTTTAAAATATTTACACCTCATGATTTGGAGAAGTTTCCATATATTGTATTAGTATCTCAAGGAATTCACAACCACCCACTGCCACCACCTATCAAAGTTCCATCATTTATAAAAGATAAATTGAAAGTTTTAATCCAAGACTTAGAATCTCAAATTGTAAAAGTCCCAACAATCCTTGTCCATGGGGGTTGTTCTCTTTGTACATATATCTATATTGTTTACACTAGAATGGACTTCTGCAATGAAGTTAGATCCAAAAACAGATTTTATTAAATGACCTGTCAATAATTGATTTGCCTTAATTTCCACATGATTATACAACAAATAAAAACGGTTTAGATTTAAAGGATTATATTCAAAATATTAGTGAGTTTGATGACTTAATTTTTATTAACTTTCAAGATGAATTCTATTTAATATTTATTTTTATTATTTCAAGGTTTGTTTAATGATGGCCATCTAATGGTTGGTTGCATAACCTGAGAGCAAGCCTTTAAATCTACACAATTCAATTATTTTGAAGTTGATCTTTCTTTCAAAAGGGTTCATGGGAATATTAATGAACTTGAATTTAATGCATATGATGAAGGCCATAATAGTAGTAAGTAGTTCTGTTTTTTGCTTTTAACATATAATTCTTTTATTCTTCCATATAATTTAAGTAGTTATTTTTATTTGGTTTTAGTTGTGACCTTTTGTAGAATTTTTACCAATATAGCAACTATAGATGCTGGTCGCAATTCTTGGTGATGGTTGCAACCATATTTGCGACACCTGGTTGCAACCACCTTTGCGACCACTTTGGTTTCCTTTTTGGATTGCGACATGGAACACTAATAGCAACGAAAATTGCATATGCTAGAATGTTTGAGGCTTTTTTTGAAGGCATTAATAAATTAACAGGTGTCCAACCAAAATTTTATCACATTCATAAAACTGGATGGGCCTGCGTTTTGGTATTGCTCAAGCTCAAGGACTTGGCAAAGCATTGAAAAAAATTGATCCATCTAGAAAAGGAAAAGAACATCTGAGAAATGTTTTTCAGATCTTGCCAAGTACACTTCAAGAGGAACATTAGGAATAATCATTATTCTGAAAATACTAAGAGCCTCATGTACAATATTTTGAGTGCTAGTTTACAAGAAAAGGTGGATGAAATTTTAAGTAATTTAGAAAAAACAAGTGAATCGAGTATTGATAGTAAGTCAACTTATTGTTCATTTCAAAATAATTTTTAACACAATATTAATTGATTTTTTTAATTTCATTAATAGATTGGTTAAATCTTACAAAAAAACTTGGATTTTAGCTTCATTAAATGTTAATTATTCATTGGTCCCAGAGGAGATTTGGAATAGTACACCTTTTGATACAAATTATGCAGAATTTGACACACAAATGTAAACCAAATAGGAAAGAATTTAAAGCTAAAATCTGCAATTTTGAAGTAAGCATTCATATTAATATAATAATTAATACATTGTATAATTTTTTTTCCTCACACATAAGAGGTTGGAAATACGATGAAAATATGTATAAAAGATTTGAAGTTCACAATAATATAGGTGTGGCAATGAGTAGTAAAGATAAAAGTATTCTTACTAGGAGAATTAATAGTAATAGAAAAATTTCAAACACAAAAAGATCTACTAAATCATCCATATCTCAGAACCTAAAGAAAAAACAAAAAAGGTCACAACCACAAACTGAAGATAATGATAAAATAATATTCATCAATGATGATCAACTATCAACAAGTGAAAAATCATTACAACTAAAACAGAGTGAAATTGAACTTGAAGGGCATCATATAAGCTTAGAAGAAAGAAAATTGAAGATCAAAGAGTACGAATTAGATCTTAAAATGAAAGAACTCAAATATAAAAAGAAATTAAACAAACTAGAGTTGGCTCCAGGAAATGATAAATGATTTTTTTTTAATCAATTTATTATTATGAATAAATTTTTTTATATAAACTAAAATAAAAGGCCATTTCATCTGAATATATACAATGTAAATAATCCTATATAAATCTTATTAGTAAACATTTATGTTGATGTTAAATTTGATATGATTACGGTGCAAATTCTTTGAGTCAATTATATATCTGTTATTATAAATTTTGTTAGTATAATACAGTACAATGGTTCTGGTATGTTTTTTAATCACACCAGCATTTTATTGAATTGTACCAACTAAATTTGGACTGTTATATCAATCATACCGTAACAACATAAAATACTATTCAAATAATAATTTTATAATTTTATCTAATATTTGAGAAGTATAAAAAGACTCATTATTTTTATCTGTTCATGCTAACACTAAAAAAATTCAATTTATTCACAAGATCAATTTTACTTTTAATCTAGTGAAATGAAGGAGCTATAGAAAATATCAATATAAATTGCAGATGAAGTTAGAAAGATGATAAAACAATCAAGGAGAATGAATAAAGTAATAACTTCATTTATAATTTATAAATTTAATGGACAATTATTTATTATTAATATTTGAATATTTTCATAAAACTTTATTACTACTATCAGTCAAATTATCCTCTTTGTTTTTTTGGTGAAGGATAAATTAGATCATAATCATCACTAATATCTACTTGTAGTGTATTTTCAAAACCATTTCTATATTTCAACTCATCTTCAAATTCTTCAAATTCTCTTACTGAATCTAATACAGCATTTCTGAAAATAGTTAGTCCATATAAATAGTTACATACAGATTGTGATTGTGAATAAGAACTTAATGGAATTAATACATCAAAAAGTCGCATAACACACCCAACTTCATAATTACTATTGTAATATAATATTTTTAATGATGTTCCTGTCATTGAAATAGATAAAGATTTTGTTAATAAAAGGATTGTATGTATATATTTGTAAACGTTCAAATAATTATCACTTAATTATTTAAACAATGTTAATGAACAGGTAATTTAATTGTTGTTAAAT